GAACAGTAGCCGCTCTGGTTGAAGCTTTGCTTATTGTAATAGGCTTTTATTCCCAGGTAATTTCTCTGTGGAAGACCTAATTCTGAATAGAGATATAGACATTACTGGAAACTAATTTTTTTTTCTATTATACTCTGCTTTATCAAAAAAAAGTAAAACATTTAAATTGTGCTACAGGAATTCAGTTGTTGTCTTGCAATCTTTAAACAATAAATGAATGATTTCCCCTTAAAAAAAAAAAAGAAAGAAAATAAACTAGAGAATTTTGTAACACATGAACTAACATTAAGCAATGGAGGTCTCCTCTGAGTGCTGCCAGAATTTTTGGAGAAATGTGAGGCAAAACTCAGAAGTGTCAAATGGTTTTTCTGGTGGTCACCTTTTATTTACATAGTACAGGCATAAAGACTGCCATTCAGTAGTCTGTATGACAGATCAAAGGTTGTAAATCACCATACTGTAACCTAGAAACAGGGCAGAAGTTACAACAAATGTGCTTATCTTTTAGATAATTTTAATTCCGCACAGTACCTGGCTTGAGGCTGCCACGTTGAAGCTGCAAGCTAAATACTCTACACGTATTACAGGAACACAATATATGCTTCTCCTGATAGAAATTATTTTTCTAAAGAGTGTTTCTGTTATTAATCCAAATATGCAAGAATTTCAGCTCTAATCTGATGATTTTATCAGTAAATTCAAAATTTATAATTCAGTTGAGTCCTTAATTTATGTAGAAAAACTAGGTACGTTTGATCAGCCATATGCACTTGCTTTTGTTTTTGATTTTCTATTTACTTCATCTGTGTTCCAGCCTGACTAAATGCTTCTCTTCTTGCTTTGAAGATATTTTGAGGGGATAGTGAGTCACCTGAGGTTCCCTACCACAGCTCATAGCACAGGCACTGAGGACAGAAGGCTGAAAGATTATGATCAGTACCTTGGCGTTGTCAGTATTTTCAATGTAGTACATAACACAACATATTCATAGGCAAAGTTGCCACGCCCATCTCTGCTTTATTAAAACCCACAGTGTATATTATTATGCTGATTACTTACTACTCTTAAATGGAAATTGCTCCTTCTTATATTTCGTATCTCTGGATAACAATTCTCGAGTTTTAGTTGGTGCTCATAAAATATTTTACTATACTGCATAACATAGTACATATATTAGATATATATATATATATATATACACACCTTGTAAGTATATATTAATTACTTATGTCATATGTAATTGTGTAGATATTCATCTGCTAAATATTCTTCAACTATCATTCACTCTTTTCTCTAAATATTTTCTGGTATATTATAGTAAAAATCTTTTACATATATATACAATATTCTCAATAAAGCCTATTGTCACTATATTATATTTAAAATAACATATATGTACAGATGTATAGTTTTCTCAATAAAGCCTATTGTTACTGTGAACACACATGAACCTGTCACACAAACTATATATATATATATATATATATATATATATATATATATATTTATTTATTTATTTATATAAAACTATGGATGCTCACTGCTGAAGAATGTGGGCCACAGGCCTGTGGCAGGAATGAAGTGATGTAGATGAGTGTTATTTTCACGTGTACGTTGGCTCTGATGCAGAAATGACCACAGGGCAAATGTAGCCCCCCATTCGAAGGATGTCAGCACGTACTTATTTAGGGGATGAGAACACCTGTGACACATGGCCACTGTAGTCAGCATCTATCAGCAGATCCCTTGAGCTTATTCCTGCTGTATGAGCAGGACTCTGTGTCCTTTGACCAGCGTCTTTCATATCCTCAACCTCTCTGCCCTGCAGGGCTCCTGAGGACCCCATTCTACTCTCTACCTCTGTAACTCTTAGATTCTGCCCACAATTGCGAACCATCCAGGATCTGTCTTTCTCTGGTTACCACACATCACTGCACATGTCCTCCAACGTTATGCATGTTGTCACTAATGCCAGGACCCTTTCCCATGACTTAAAGCTGTGAAGGAAACCCCTGAAGATTGTTGAGCACCCTGACCTGTGTTGGGCTAGAAATTCTTGGCAGGACCAGTGAATTTGTCACTCTTTTCAATCTTAAACTTTTATCAATACGAGAAGCAATGGATAAAATGTCCCGAGAAAGAGGCCTATGAGCTGACAAGTTTACACAGACAGATAGTACCCACCCATACAGAGAAACAGGCCAGCAAAGGCAGCAAAGGGAGTGAAGCCTTTACCTCCTCCTTGGCAATGCGCATCTCATCTGTCACACTAGAGAAAACTGTGGGCTGGATGAAGTAGCCTTTGTTCCCCCAGGGGCCTCCGCCACATTCCAGTTTAGCTCCTTGCTTCTTCCCACTCTCGATGAGCTCCAGGATTTTATTATACTGTTCCTTGTCAATCTGTTTCAAAAAATTCACATGGGAAGGAATCAACACCAGTTAGCAGTTAGAAACTTCCACAGTTAATGCATTGTGCCTATTCCAATCTATTAACTTGGCTATGAACTAAAAAATAACAATCTTTTAGGCTCTTATTTTATAATATTTTTCACCAGTCCCTAAACCTCACTGTTTGTGACCTGAGTGAGTAACTTGGTGTTAACCAAACACTGGATACACTGCAGGAATCACGTCAAAAGATTCATTTACTGGAAACTCATGGAACCACTGTCTTCTAAAAAATGCAGACTTCATATTTTAGAGCCTGGCTCCCAACATGCACTCCTAGAATAAGCTGCACTGGCATGGCCTGGTAGCAAATGGGCTTCTCAAGCCATGACCCATACTTTCTGAATCCTTGTGTGATTCCAATGAAATTGCAGTATCTCTTGGAATGACCAAAGACCACCCCCCAGGAGAGTGAAGAAAATTGACCCTATTTGTATATTACTTCTCCAGGCCAGGACACCAAGAGGACAGAGGAAACTCAAAACCAAAAATCTAAGATCATTAATAAAGCGCCATGGAAGAAGGAAGGAAAGATGGTATCTCATAAGACATCCAGAAATACTCTTATTGATTGTGTTTCCAAGTAAACAAGAAAACCTGGGGTTCAGAGGGATAATTGGGCAAACCAGGGGTTCAAGGAAATGACTGGGATTTCTGGAAATCAGGATCACTGAGTCACAGGTACTGCCACCAGAAGATGAGTGCAACTGAGAAATGTGTAGAGAATGAAAGCTGTTCTAGTTGTCTCTATCTGTGAAGTGGCAGCTGAGAGGAAGGATGGACTCATTTTCCAAAACAAATGATAGAAATGCATAGGAACTTCCAAATTATTGAAGACTTGTCTGAAATGAAATGCTATCACTGAAGGGAAACAATAAATTGATGCTCTTTGTCAATATTCTCAGATTTTCAAAACCTGACGTGGCTCTCAAACTATTTTTAGGTATGAAAAATCAGCAACATGAACACAGAATGATTTTTTTCTGCCATTGATAAGAAGACTTTTAAATCACCAAATCAATACAGTATCACTACCAAGAAGTTGCATGGCTGTGGAGATAGCTCAGTAAAGTAAGTGCTTGCCTGGCAGGTGCAAGATCCTAAGTTCAATCCTGGAAAAAAAAAAAAAGAAAGAAAGAAAAAGAAAAAGAAAAAAGAAACAAAGAAAGAAATAACAAACAAACAAAAGAAAGAAAAACTAATGAAAGAAAGAAGAAGAAAGAAGTTGCAAAAAGGAGAAGTGAGTTTGTTTAGTGGAAAAAAGGGTACCTAATTCCTGTCCCCTGAAATTCTATTCTTTCCATTGTGTACTCACCTGAGGGCCATGATTTGTGCCTGGGCTCAGAGGATTTCCAGGAGTATATTTCTTTGCCCGCTCAACACTCCTCCGAACAAATTCATCATAAATTGATTCTTCTACAAAAAGCCTGGACGCAGCTATACAACATTGCCCCTGGTGGAAGAACAGGCCCACATGTGCCGATTCTACAGCAGTGTCCACTGCAAAAAAATCACATTAAAAGGAAATATTATCTAAAGAGCATGAAATTTATATATAGTTCTCAGAGGCAATATGGGGATGTAGAAAATGCTGAGGTTCTGCATAACTCATGGATTAAAATTCACATGATAAATTAATCTGGTGATCCTTTATTTCTATGAAAACAATGATAATAAATAGTACAATCTGGACAGGTGGCATTTATTGACATAATATAATGTGGATATACCTAAGAATGTTGATTTCATCTCAAGATAAAATGCCATTGCAAATATTTTGAGTTAATATGTCCAATTATAAATAAATTCTTATGAATATTTCTTTTCAATGTTAGCTTGAAACTAAATAAAGAAAAACGAAAGAGTCCATTGCCTTCATTTCGAATCACTGTTAAACATATTGATCCATAAAAAATATTGGTCTTTCTGAAAAAATAACTACTGGAGTAGTAATAACAATAAAAAAATCCACTCATAGAATCACTTACCTTAAAATCGTGTTCTCAAAAAACATTTTCCAAATCTGTCGACCTGTTATTTCATACATACTGGTATGTGCTTATCTAGGTAGCACCTGAGGCCTAGGTTCTTTCACTAGTAGTTCTCTAACAAGAAGAAAGAAGTTTCTCTTTGTAATTCAATTTTCTAAATGTGGAAGATTCAATTCATTCTTTTTTTTTTTTTTCCCCTGAACCAGGGATTGAACTCAGGCCCTTGCACTTGCCAGGGAAGCGCTTATTCCACTGAGCCATCTCCCCAGCCCCATTCAATTCATTCTTGAAGGAGTTCAGTGTGAACTTGTGGCCTGCACATAGATTTAGTTTTTTGAGAAGCAGTTGACGGACAGGCTTGAAATATTTGGAATATTGTCATTTTTGTAAAATGTTTAATAAGGTGATGCACTGTAAAAATTTTAGTTAAGTTTGTAAAGCAATGAAAGCCATGAGCCATTTGTTCCCACCAATAATGCAAAAGTTAAAGGCAGAATTAGAAGAATGACCACCTACTCTTGCTAATTAACTCTTCCTTAGGATTAATTAGGGGTTCTATTTCATAATATAACCAGAATTAGGACATTATATAGTGAGGTCATGCCATAATTGCCTACTTAATATATGTAAACTCAGTTATCCTTGATAGGAGCAAAAAGAAACAGTCTAACCAGATTTAATTCTCTTCTATTTCAATTAATGAGTGTTTGACCCAGAGTAAAGGAGATACCAAATGCCAAATTGTTGTCTCCTCAGTTTATCTTGGTCTAACATACATGAAGTATCTTACTATGCTTAGCATCATGCCAATTTGTGAACATTTGTAATTATTAAGAAATAATCTGGGTCCTGCAGGACTTATACATGCAAAACATTTACATTATTCAAGGTTGATCTGAAGAAATAGCAATCTATTACAAGGCAAGAGGAAAGCATGTCTATGGTTAATTTTTGTGTGTGTTCTAATTTTAGGACAATTAAAAATGTTTTAAGAGTGATTCTGGACTCAGATATGTTCCTTTTATTTTGAAGCAAACGTGTTTGTGCAGTTCAAGCTCCCTGTCTGGCGCTGTCAGACACCAGAAAGGATGCGGGCTCGGGCTCCGCAGAGGCAGCTGTACTCACGATCGGCGTCGGCAAACACGATGCAGGGGCTCTTTCCTCCCAGTTCCAGGGTGACTCTCTTCAGGTTGCTGTTCCCCGCAGCTGCTTTGATTATTTTGCCAACCTGAAATGCAGCGTTGCCAAGGGGAAGCCTTACTATGTGCTCATGAGACAGGTTTAACACTCTACATTTGACTGACTTTTGTGGCCTTATTAGATTTTATTTGAAAGAAACACTGACTCATTTTTTCCCTAACTGGCACCTTCAGATTCTAAAAGGTCCTCCACACAAGTCTGTAGACGCAAAGATGAATCAGAAAAGTGTTCACGGGCAACACAGCAGAGACATAGAACATGATAGTGGTCTTGATGTACATGATTAGGCACGATTTCATTTTCATTTTCACCCAAGCTTCACATTGAGATGGAGCAGTTGTACTGTAATACCCCTTAAGTTACTCATGTGCCTCTTCCGGCATTCATAGAGCTCTATCAGCCAATGGCGTATTCTCCACATTTTGAACCCCATCTTTCCTCTTTTCATGTATTCATCGCAAATAGGATCTCATCTAGTCATTCATTTAGTGAGGTTCAGCTCAGATTTTGTCTCCTCCTAGAACTGAACTCATGACCTTATACTGGCCAGGCAGGCACTGTGTCACTGAGCTATAGGCCTGTCCCTAGAATCCTTTCTAGATGACTCTGAATAGGCATAGTCTGTTCTTTTTATGGTCTCCCAGTGAACTATATGAACAAGCTTTCAGAGTTTGCTTCAGATTGTATTAGTTGTGCATGAATACATTTGCATAAATTTGCTAAGGAGATTGTCCATGCCGTGGTGGCCAGGGTAAAGTCCTATCACTGCATCTCTCTCCTCAGCAGTTCATCATGGTGTTCTTGTTTAACTATTCTCTTAATGATTCTCTCTCCCGGCCCCTCGCCTTAATGATTCTCTCTCCCGCTCTCCCCCCTCCCTCTCCACTCCCCTGCCTCTGTCTCCACTCCTCCTCCCTCTTCCCCCTCCCTCTCCTCCTTTCCCGCCTCTCTCTCACCCCCTCTTCCCTCTCCCCCACTCCACCTTCCTCTCCCCCTGCATCCTTCCCCCACTCCATCACCCCCCTCAGTCTTTACCTTTTAGGCTGTATACCAGTGAGAAGCATATGCTACTTGTGTTGAACATCTGACATAGTTAACCTATGAGAAGAACTCAAGGCCTTTTTTTGGCTTGACATAGTATTATGTCTTCCATTTCTTTTACTTATAGAAAAACCATTCAATCTCCCCATATCTACCTTCCACACCCCTTCCCCCTGATGTGCACATGGAATTGATATTACTATTTTAAAATTTTTTGGACAACCAGGCCAATGACAGCAATCAAACACTGGGTGAGACCACTGGTAACAATAAGGGAAATTTAGCTTCTGGCTCCCTTGCAGAAGGCATGGGGAAGAAAGTCCAAAATGAGGAGCTCAGTGTGTGAGGTGCTGCTCCTTAATTCTTCTTTTCTTTCTTTCTTTCTTTCTTTTTTTTTTTTTTGTGTGTGTTTTAGGGAAGGCTCTACAGTGTGTTCAGGGTCTCACTACTAGATTGGACTCATAATGATCACATGTTTACAGTCTCCCAAGAGCTGGGATTACAGATGCACACCACCATGCCTAGTCTCAACTGCCATCTCAGTGTGCCTTGGGGGGGGGGGTGGAGGTAGCACAGCAGGCCCAGGGATCAAACCTCAGGTCCCTTGGCCTGTTTGCATGAACTCCTCAATTTTCAAAATCTACAAGGTACGAATGTATTCATTCACACAAATCACATGATCTAATTTATATTTTCTATTATAAATTCTATAAATCTTATGACACAGTGGCTCTGTTTCTCATAAGAGAAGGTAAAGAATACACTCAGGACAGCTCTGTCCTTTCAGGTTTGTAATCAATATCTCATTTCATCTAAACTACAACCGCTTGTGCTGTATAAACAAATTGGAAGCTAGAATAAGGGACATCTCATTAAAGTGAACTTCAGTTTTAAGGAAGTGTTGGCTTTAAAATTGTTACAAAAATATCCTCAGACTAAATATAGAGTCCTGGAGTTCAAACTGTAAATTAAGTGTTTCACATAAAAATTGATAAATGGTTACAGACCCCTCCAAAAAATATCCTCAGGGTTATTAGACGTGCCCATTATTAATGACCCTCCTGAGGGAGTAGCATTACCTCTGTCGATCCTGTGAAGGCCACCTTGTCAATATCCATGTGGGAAGAGATGGCTGCCCCTGCGGTGGGCCCATAGCCAGGGACAATGTTCACCACTCCAGGGGGAAAACCTGCCTGGAAGGATGAAAAGCGCAACTATTATAACAGAACTTGGAATAATGGAAGAAAGAAGGATATTGGATGGATGCTGTTTCTTCAGGTTAACCATCTGAGCTCTACCATGAGCTGTTCAGCGAAGTAACCTTGATTATTATTATTATTATTATTATTATTATTATTATTTCATTTCTTAACCCATATAAAAATAACCCAATGTTGGGAACATTTAGCTATGCTTTCTTCCCAGGTCAAGTCCATGGCTTAATGGCTCATTGCTCAAATTTCTTTACAGTGACAGAAGAAGATGGCATATCTCTACATGTTTGGTAAAATGTTTACACAGAAAGAATTATATTTGGGGCTGGAGAGATGGCTCAGTGGTCTAAAGCACCTACTTGAAACAAGCTTGGCAATGCACAGGGACCCTGGTTCAATCCCCCAGCACCACATGCCAGCCAGCCCCGCCCCTGGTGGGCTGAGCTGGCCACACACACACACACACACACACACACACACACACACAAATAAATAAATAAATAAATAAATGTTAAAAAAAGAATTATATTTATTATCTTGTTAACCAAAAATGAAAAACTAAACAACTTCATATTTTCAGTTTTCTAGCTGTTGGTTGATTATTGCTTAGGAGCTAAGTTGCAAAGCCCCAGTGGCTTCAGTTAGTCAGTAAAATGTTAGGCAAGAAAAGATGTCTTGGAAGTTGGAAGCTCACCAACTGGTGTCAACTCCTGTATAAGCCAATGATGAGCCCATTAAAATGGCATGTTATTCACATCACATTGACATATTTTCATATTTTTGCCAATATTTAATTTGTCATGAAGAATATTTTTAAAAGCAAGAGTGTAGATTTTCTATATTACAAGTTATAGAGACAAACAATAGCATAAGTTTTGGTACTACATGAAGAACAAAGGGTAATGAGTGATTTTAAAAATATATATTCACACAATTTGGATAGTTCATGAAAACGAAATTTTGAAGACAAAAGTATAATACAGATGTGAATATATAAATATCCATTAATGAGAAAATGTTTTAGAAAATAATTTGGCCCAGTATTACAAAGAAATACATTGGCACAGTGAACTCAATCCTTCAGGGATTGATACTAAAATATTGTTAATGTTGAACAAATTTGCAGAAACTAGTTGGCCGTTAGTGGTAGTTAGGAACTAACGCAATGCCCCAGCATTAAAAGGATGCTATATTAATTTCATCATGAATGTGTGTGTGTTCATGAGAGTGGGACAAAAGAAAGAAAATACTCAGTCACCAAGTATGGTTTAATGTGACTTTGGTGACTGACCCCAAGCCTCTGCGTGGCTTCTGCTCTGCATTTGGCTGGAAACTCAAGAGCACCAATGTAACCAAATCCCAGTGACCAACCCTGTTCATGGCAACCTCACCACTGGACGGCACCTTTGAGCAAAAGGTAGCTGACAGCTGCCCTCATAAGGGCTTCCTGTCCCGGCTAGGGCTCTGGGATTCTCGTGCAGCCCAGACCAGGAAGCTTACCTCTTTAATTAAGGATGCCACGTGAAGAGCCGTGAGCGGAGTTTGCTCTGCGGGTTTGACGATCACGGTGTTGCCACAGCTGAGGGCGGGTCCTATCTTCCACACCAGCATGAGCAACGGGAAGTTCCACTGGAAGGCAATATTCCACAGTGCATCTTTGCTTTGCTCAGAGGCACATATATTAATGTAACTTTGACATCGTGCAGCTCCTCCCTTTCCTCTAGTTGTTAACTAAACGCTGCTGCAGTTTTGACGGGTGTCCAGTGTATTCTCTTTAAGGTCATGGCAAGAAGCAAACACACTCAGAGGAGAGCAGATAGAAGAAGGGACAAGGAGAGGGCTCCTGAATTTAATCAACTGCTATTACTTTAAATTCTTCTTCTAATGAGAACAAATCTCTGCCTGGTTTTGGATACCAGCAAGCACTATAATGACTATTTTTCCTGTTAGAATAAAAATTCCAAATAACAGTACTTGATTTTAAAACTGGTTTATTCTTTTTTCCAGCTAGGTCATTTATTTTATTTGTTCACCACTTTCAATTATTTGTGGTATAAATACCCTTTATGTGCTGCTGGGGTTCCAGCCCAGGGCCACATACAGGTTGTCTGTGGTCCCCCACTGAGCTACCCCTCCACCCAAGACCAACAATGTTCTTGAAGAGAAAGATGAGAGGATGCAGAGGAGGAGAGCTCAGGCTCAGATCCAGGGCCAGCACCGAGGAGCCATGTGAACCCTGATGGGTTCCTTATTCTCCATAAATGCTAATAAAATCCTCTTTTGCAGAAGGTTGTCCTATGATGTATTGTTTGTATTTAGGCTTTGTGGCTTTAAAGAAGTTTGTTGGATTTTTGAATGAATGAGCTATTTAATTTTAAAGGTTATATGTTTTCCTTTCAATTTCATTGAAACTAATAATAAGCCATCATCGCTTTCTCTTTTAAGAACTTCCAAGCATTTTAGTCCACTTCATAGTTTGACTTTTCTTGCATTTAATCTATGTTCAAACCATATCATTTTTGTCAGACAAAATGGAAACCTCACAAATTTTAACTGAAAATGTCATGTTTTTCATAGGAAATTTGAAGTATCATAGTCTCTTATCTGAACATATAATATATTCTGCCCAGTGTTCCAGATGCATCTATGTAATGTAAATTTATACTTTGATTAAATTTTAGAAAACTCAGTGATAATATTATTGGCATTCCTCAAGATTAAGAGAAAATAATCATAAAATTCTTATGGAACTAGATGAGATAAAGAAGAGCAAAAGAATCCTGGGCAACAAGAGTAAAACACAGGTCATCACAAGCCTTTGATGCTTCAAGTTCTTACAAAACTACAGTGATAAAAATATGTGGTACTGACATGGCAACAGACACGTGGATTAATGAAACATAATAGAGAATGCTGACTTGCACAAAGCACATTTAGGAATCGGATCTTTGACAGGGGAGTCAAAAATATAATTTGGAGGAAAGCCTTTACCAAATAATTTTGGGAAAATCAACCATCCACATGCAGAAGATTGAAGCAGAAAATATGTCTTTCACCATGCACTAAGCTAAAATCAAAGTGGAGCAAGAATGTAAAAATAGAAACAATCTATTGAAAGATAAAGTAGGTAAAACTCTTTAAGGCACAGGCATTGATAAGGACTCTCTGAACAGAAATGCCAACTTCATAAGAAATAGAAACAGGGATTTTAAAAATGGCATTGTATCAAATCTAACACTTCACAGCAAAGGAAAAAATAGAGTTAAACAACAATGTATACAATGGGAAAACATTTTTGTCAGCTACTTTTCAGAGAATTAATCCATATAATAAAGAAGTTTTTAAAAAGAAACTCCTAAAAAAGTCCACTAAAGAAATGAGCAACTGAAAGGAAGACACTTTTCAGAAGTACAAGTAACTGATAAATGCATAAATTATGTTCCACATCACCTTCCATTAGAGAAAAGCATAAGGTTTGAACAACACAGAGAATCTACCTTATTCCAGAAAGAATGATTGTCACCAGGAAATTAAATAATAATAAATGCTGGTACAACTATGGAAAAATGAGTCCCTTTAAATTGCCTTTGGGACTGAGAAGGATGTGTGCAATGTAATTATTGAAACTGTCCTACCAATTTGATTTGAAACTGTCTCATTGCTATTTGTTTATTAATAAAATTATGGAAAAAAGTAAACAAAAATAAATAAATAAAAAATAAATTGCCTGTGGGAAAATAAACTGGAATAACCATTATGGAAATCAATATGGAAATTTCTCAAAATAATAAGAGTAGAAATTCCATTTGATCCAAGTATTCCTGTTCTAAGCATATTCCTGAGTTAAATACATCATATTATAATGATAAATGCATTTTCATATATATTGCAGCCCAACCCTTCCAAACCTTAGTTGTGGCCTATTTGTACATGCATAAGAAAGTGTATTTATATAGCAGACCCCTGCTCTTCCATGAAGAAGGATACCTTGGAGTCATAGGTAAAAGAATATACTTTGAGAACTTACTGTTAAGTATAGTAAATCTGACAGACAAGATTAAGTATCTCATGGCTTCCCTTACATGAGAGACTCAAGATATAATATTTTAAAAAGAAAAATAAAAGGTAGATTAAAATAGATAGATAAATATTTTGCAAAAGAGAAGAAGATCAAGAGATGGGCATAGGGGAGGGAGAAGAAGTGGAGGGGATGAAAAAGAACAAAGATGTGCTATGAGTAGGTACCCACTCATCTCAAGGAGTGCAATCATTGTGTACTGTCAACATGCACCAATGAAGAAATAGAAAAACATCTTTCAGGATTTGAATACTTTTACTGCTACTCTGGTCTGTGCTGAGAAGTCTTGGAAGAGACAGTGGTGGAGCTTAGGAGCCACGTTCCACTGAAGGGCTGGCCCAAGCAGAGGTGTCCACGGTCATCTCTGTCACATGCCCATCAAGCACAGTTCTTAATAGCAGTGTAGAACATAAGTCTTTGAAAACAACCCATGCAGTAAGAGGTTGAGTTTTCTTAATGCAGGAATGTTCAAATTCACTTATGAGATACATCAGGATATAAGTAGATTTGGGCATTTCCTATAGTACATTCCAGAAATCCACTCCTAGGAAGTCTAATTTCACTGTCTTCAGGTTGAGATTTATTTGTGTTAGAGAAATCTTTGTCACCAAACTAAATAGGCTTAATTTAAATTACATCTGTTTTCAAAAATAGTATACAGGAGAGCAACTTACAGGAAGGATTTGGCCACAAACTCCGATAGGTTCACGTCTTGTGTAGGTGAAGAAGTCTCCATCTGGAAAACAAATTGCACACCAGATCTATGGAGAACTAATCCCCTTGATATTTGCCAGATGGAGGTTGGAAATTTATGTAAGAGGAAAATAGAAACAGGAATTTAAGAAATGAAAAGAATGGCATGCATTAAATAACTTAAAAAGCGGAAATTTGAGCCCTCCACTAATAGCCCGGAATGACTGAAACCATAAAATCAAGTTAAACAAAAACATAACGCAACACGAGGAAGTATTTGGATGATAATGAATTTTGTGGTTCATCACCAAGGAGAATGCTTCCTACATTATTATCCTCAAAGTTTTGTAGGAAAACAAGAGGAAAAATGAAGGGTCATTATCTGGTTAAAAGAAGAACCATATTTAAATGTATTTTTAGCAGCTCTAAGTTTACCAATAATTTAATGCTTTCGAAAAAAAATTAATATCTTTAAAATAGTAAAATTACAACTATCATTCTAGAAGGAATAAGCCATTTTGTCAACTTGCACCAAGGTGCTGCTTTCCTCTGCCTAATGAACCAAAAGCCAGGTCTATTGATCATTGCAAAATATGGCCAACATGAAGGACAACTCTCTTCTGTCTAGAGCTGAGTGATTAAGAATCTGACGTGGATATTCAGAGATATCTTACCTCTTTGTCTTTAGTTCTATTTCAGTCCCCAAGAAAGCCCCTGGCTGTCACAACAAGGCCCATGTTTCTAAAGATCCACAGGTACTTCAAAGGCTTTTCCCACTTTGAGGGCAAACCAAGACAGGCATTAAAGGCCACATTTCTTCTTAGCACTGTGGTCTTATTCACCTTCTTTAACTCCCTCTCACTTGTATCCTAGCAGACACTCTAGGTAGATTAGACCTACACGTGAAGGCCAGTCCGTGAAGTGTGTTTTATTCCTAAATTTAACGTATTTCAGGAAGGGAAATTCTACCTTATTTCCCCCAACTGAGGCTTTCTTGAGATGAAATACCTTTCATATTTCTATTTTGTGAAATGCATGTACCACCAAATAGCACAAACATGCACAATTGCATTCACAAATTCTTACCTCAAGCTATAAACATAGCCTTATGTTGTTTTGAAGCAATTTGAAACAAATCGGTATGAATTAGTTTGTTTAATTACTGTGGTCTAGCTGTACTGATGTCGAACAGGCTCAGATCACCATAGGTGCCCCATAGGGGAGCAGACCAAGAGACCTAAACAATTGCATTACGAAAGGTTGTAAATGTCACTATGGCAATGAAACCCAAATAATTAATATCAGGGCCAGCTATAAGCAGTTTGGGCCAGCTATAAGCAGTTTGGCCCCGTGGATAGTTGCTGCAAATCAGTAACTGCAGCCTTAACAATGATCGTACTTCAACAATGTCTAAAATGCCAAAACAAAACAAAACAAAAAAATTTCTGAAGTGCCCATGATGTTCTCTTCTGCCTTGCTATGCGGAAACTACTTTAGAGACCATTTTCTAAGTCATTGCAACATTTCCTAGGTTAGAGAGGTGCTGGCCTAAGGTCAGGCAAAAATAATCTGGCTCTGTGTGGCTGGCATCTTCAAGAGCAGGCATTTGAAGTCACTGAGCTCTGCAGTAATCTCCTCAGCCCTCCCCACGCTTGAGGTCTCCCCGTGCTCCTCACCCACAGGTATGGTGCGGCCCTGGATCTTGTCGGCCCAGCCTGCGCAGTAGCGTAATTGTTTTATACTGCTTCCTACATCCAGCAAGCATGCATTAGAAAATATTTTCCCAGCATTTGTTGCCTCCATCGTCTGAAAAACAGATTAATTTCTAAATGTAAAATGCCACAAAATTTTTATATTAAAACATATATGGTCAGGATGTTTAATAGGCATTGGAGAATTTTTGACAAAGAAAATATCTCAAATTATCTTGATTAATTTTCCCTTCATAAAAGAGATTCAAAAAGAGTTATAATAACATGTATATAGGATCATAGTCATGATCTAGGTAAAAAGGGTAGGAGATTAAAGTTCATAAAGTAGAGTACTCCTTTGTCTCATTCTGAGTGTTCCCTGCTACCCAGCTTTCAAAGAGTTGGTCACAATTTGATGAATCCCATGGTGAGAACAGTGTGGAGTCTTCTTTCTTGTTTTTGTCCTTTGAGATAGGGTCTCACTATGAAGTTCAGGCTGGCCTTGAGCTCACTTTGTAGTACAGGCTGGTCTTGAACTGAAAGTGATCCTCCTGCCTTAGCCGTCAGAGTGCTGGGATTGTAGGCATGCACCATCACACCCAAACTCAACACCTTGCTCTTGCCAGGCAGATGCTTATTATGGCCCTGGCTCCTTCTCCAGCACTCTGACAGCTGAACCAGGAGGATTACTACAAGTTTAAGCCATACTGTACTACATAGTGAGTCTAGAACCTGTCTACAAAACACTCATTTTTAATTTTTGGATTCCAAATAAATATAACAAACCTATAACACCCTAGCCTTTCATTCATGATTTTTCTACCACAGAAATTTTCATTATGAATGAAAGGAAAAATAAGATTTATTTTAGTGAAATAGTTTGGATACCTTCAACAAAACCAAGTAAATATTCTAATAAACCTCAGAGTTTAGAAAGTTTGAGATACTTAGTGCAGTATTATAGAAGTTTCACCCTGTGTGCTGCCATGTTGAAGACTTGTTAAAATGAAAGAAATGTCATTACTTTAGCTTAACTGAGGAACTGTCAGTGTTTATCCCATACCATTAGTTATGGGAGCAGAAGTTAAGATCACCCAGAACTAAAAGCAGATGACTACTTGAGGATAATCTCCAGGATAACCGTCTTTTAAGTGTGCTGGAGATTGTCTTTTTTCTTTTTCATAGAGTTCACATAGCTTGGAATTTTTGTTTCTTTTGATGTTGGCAATCCAACGCAGGACCGCACAGTTGCCAGGTGGGCACTATGACACTGAGCTACACCTCCAGCCCGTGGAGTGCACCTCATGCTCACTGAAACCAATGTTGTTGCCGGTTCAAGCAGTGAACGCTTTGGCGAGCTCTCCCTACTCGCGCAGTCTGGTGATACTCACAGCCAGCAGCACACTGTCTCTTTCTATTAAGTCAGCCAGCTTGTACAGGAGGCGGCCCCTCTCGGAAGCATCCATAGTACGCCATGGAGAGCCGATGGCAAAAGCCTCTCTGGCGGCCTTCACTGCTTTGTCAACATCCGCCTGTAAGTCAGGGAATTCACTTCAGTGCACTCAACATATTGACAGAGAAAATGCAATGTCAATAACCATTTAAAACAGGCTGTAGCTACTCATAAACACATGTTGCGTCTCCATTACCTCAAAGTCTAGAATGTTCTACTTAACAACAAACTATAGTAGTTTGGACTGACACCAGCTAGGTAATCTTTAGAAGAATGAGTCCCTCACACATGACAAATGCCTGATTTCCTAGAACATAAATGTTAATAATAGTTTGCTAGTTGCTCTTGATTGAGTACTTACAGTTCTGGGGTACTGTTCTAACAACTTTATGTATGTTAGTACATGTGATTATCAACAATGTCCCAGGACCAATGTGTTCTCCTTTTAACAGATGAAGAAACACAGATGAGACAAAGGAGAGTTGCTCCAGCTGCATAATGGAAAGTGGGTGAGCTGAATTTTAAGGAAGCTCCTCTCACCCTGGATCCCCTGCTCTTCACCGTACTTTATTTTCTTTCGCTATCTTGTCTCATTTCCTGCTCCCAGCTTGCCTTGCCTCATGAATTTTGTCATGTTTTTCTAACCCAGGCACACTCCTCTACTTCTCTGCTAATCCTCCTTGGTTTCCACAGCCTCCTGGGCCCTTTCTCACACCCTACAAAATAGGCCCTTAATAAGCGTCGCCATTCTTACATAGAACTTTGTTTCTGTACAGATCAGTTACACATACAGTAAGTCTCAGTGTTCCTCTTGTTCCACTTTTCTGCATAGGACTCACTACTGTGTGGAGCTCCACAAATTAGGACAACAGCTCAGGTTTCACAGAAGATGTAATTCCCATCGAGAATTAGGATGAATGGATGAGCAGACGCCCTGTAGAAGTTGCTCACAATTAAGTTCAATCTTATTCCACATTGAAGTCTCCCTTTTGCAGTCATGGACATCAAATTACTATGTCCTCACCTAGACTGCATTAAGTTAAGAAGTTTCCAAATCTAAGAACTTAGGGTCAGATAAATAAAAATATGTTTAAATAATGATGCTACTTCGTTTTTTTTCTTTCAGTACAAGGGATTGAACTCAGGACCTTTTGCTTGCCAGGCATGCATTTCTTCCATTAAACTATCTCCCCAGCTGATTATTCCCACAAACACCAGGAAGTTGACAATAGTGTAAGTAAAAAAAAAATACATGCAATAGCCCTGACCTAAAGAATGTCATTATTTTACCTAGCCTGCCTTAAATGTGCTCAGAAGGCCTAAAAATTATGTTGTAGTAAAATGTTGACTATCTCACTTCATTTAATGCTGTGCGCCACTGGACTGTGTAGCTGACTGGAAACAGGTTTGCTGCCGTTACTTAGTGTTGCAAGAGAATGTTGTTCTGCTGAGTGCTGCTAGCTTGTGGGGAGATGGAAATTTATAATTCAAAGTTAGGTTTCTACTGAATGGGTATTGTTCTTGCCTCTTGCTAAAGTTAAAAACTGAAAATTGTGCCTTTGTAAATTATGGATCATCTGTATTTATAACCAAACTAGGATAATTTTGAGATAATTTTGAGATATTTTTAGAACTACAATCTGATCTAATGACATGCTATGGACAACAAGCAAATTTTCTTTCATTGTAATTCATCACATTTGTGTATCCTGCTATAAAGATTAGAAGAATGATTTATATATACAATATAATATATGGCTTTATTGCTTGCTATGCTGAGAAATACACACATGGTGCATATTTTAAGCATTCAATTAATCATAGTGTTTATGCTTGCTCATTGCTTTTGACACAAATTATGTCCTTTTCAGTTAAACTCAGGAAGCAATGTTTAGGAAAGAAGCAAACCACAAAAATCTGAGATTGCCAGCACGCTATATGGAAATACCATGGCTTATAAAATATATGCAGCTCTGTTATTAAGCAGTTCTGTCTGACACAACTTTCACTTCAGTCTTTCTGTTCATTGTTCTGCCAGTGGCCTGTTTCAAATATGGGCTACCAGGGGTGTCTCAGCCTCGCAAGTGGAAAAGGAGGAACTGGCTTCAAGACAGTGACTGTGTTGTACATGTTCTTTCAATTACATCTTCCTTTTTCTGGCATACTCTATTTAAATGGATTGGAGCAGACATGGAATCATGGTACTATACGTGCAATGAGTACTTACAGTGCTCCCATACTATAAGTATTGGGACATAATAAACAAGCTTTATATTCAAATTCCTCCTTATGAAGTAATTTTTGAGGCACCAGCCATCCATATCAATCAATTCTCCATCTGTCTATTCATTCATCGATCCATCCACTCATCCACTCAACCAAACTACCAATCCACCCATCCATATAAAGATTTCACTCAATCCACCCTATAGGATTCTTCTCCTCAGTCTCTTAGTGACATATTACTGTATTGAAAAGATTTCCCCTTTGAAATACTCAATGAAATAGGAGGGGTATACAACCAAATTATCATCCTATTATCTCATATACCATGAGGAACAGTTAGTCCTATATATCCAGGGCAATCTTTTCCATAGACGATCTTACAGACAACCTAAATCCACAGATGCTAATGTCTTTTATTTAAATGGACACAGTATTTTTTATAAAATACATACATTTTCCCATATGTTCTGTATTATCTCTAGAGTACTTATAATATCCACTATAATATAAATGCCATGCGAATAACTGTTATGTTATATTGTTTAGAGGCTAATGATAAGAAAAATGTATGTACACATTTAGTACAGACCCATCCTTGGAAAGCACAGGTTCATAGTTTTTGTCACAAGATCACCATGCTTGGTTGATTCTGCAGAAGGGCTTTTGTGGAAATAGAGGGCCTACTCTATTCCAAGATGAATTGTTTTGCCACAAGTTTTTAAGTTCTGTTTTTTGTTCTGTCAATTCAAGGTAGGTGATCTCCTCAGAATTGTGTTGAATATTAAATGACATAACCCATTGCATCAATTTTTTATGTGGAAGACCTCATGTTAAATATTTTTGGATAGTTACTATTGCTATTGTAATCCTAGAAGTCAAAATAACATTAAAATACTGTAACTCAGCAGCTCTGCCATATCACAATATACTTTCAGTAATTCCGTCCTCTTGTATTCTGTTAGTATTTTATATTGCTGACAGTCCACCCTTCCTGGATTGCCTTTGATACCAGGTTAATCTTTTTCATATAATTCTGCCTTATCACTTTCTTTTATTGGAGGGCGTTCCAGGGAACAAACTCAGTACCTTGTGCTTAGCAGTCAGGCACTTCCACTGCTGAGCTACATCCCTGGCTCCTCGTTTTCTTTTTCAATGCTTGTTACTGTACCTTTCTTACCTACAGTGCCAAGACACACACTCCCAAGGTCAGTATTCTTGGACCTCTTAATGCTCCTTGACATCATGATGCCCTCGTAATGCTCCTTGTTGTTCTTGGGATGCTTCTTGCCTACAATGTTTTACCACCATAGCCCTTTGTTTTCAAACTCCTACACAATTTCAGGCCTCAAATATTACTCTATTATTATTAAATAGTCCTCACTGGACTAATCTATTGGTGAAAGATTCTAGTTAAGAGCCTACCAAACTCGAGGCACTGGGAAACATTGTTACAGCCCCAATTGATTAGTATAATTTCAGTGGACTTTGCATCACATGGAAGTAGGCCCCATGTACATGAGATCCAGCAGAGTGGAAACAAAATCCAACTCAGATATGGTTCTTAGAGCTCTACAGTGTTATTCTAATGACATCTTTTTTGCAATGAAAATGTATCACTAACAGTACTACAAGCTCCATTTATATTTTTTCTGGGCCTACAATCGGTGGTACATAAATATTCTATAATTTTGTTAGCTATCTTTTAAGCTTATTGTGTTAGTCTTTATAGAACTTTATTGGCATTTATAGCATAAGTGATATTCTAATTAATTCCATTATACAACAAAAATTTTGTATTATTCAAAAGTATTAGGATTAAAGTTTTACTTTTGGTTGTTTGCTTGTTTTTTTCTTTCTTTCTCTCTCTTTTTTAATTTTAATTTTGTTTTTTTGAATTTCAGGGCTAGCAGTTTTGTTCCAGGACTGACATTTTCAGAGGTATAGTTTTTTGTTTTTTTTTGTTTTCAATTAACCCTAAAATCCTTTGGTACATTAACTCAAATTTGCTACCAGCAGTAAAACTATTGTTTCGACACTTGATATTTGCTTTTTGCTTAAAGCAAAGCCCACAAGCCCAGTTTATGAAAACAATTTGAGGGGCTGGAGAGATGGCTCAGTGGTCTAAAGCACCTACTTAGAACAAGCTTAGCAAAAGCATCAGGGACCGCGGTTCAATCCCCCAGCACCACATGCC